TGCTGGATTTGAGCTTGAGACCAAGCCAATATATACATATATATATATTATTTGTGTAAATAAGTGTTATTTATGTATATTAATATTAAGTGTCTTGCAACAAAACGGCACATCCATTTCAGCCGCATGGCCGCATGGCCCGGCCTCCAAGCATTCCTGCATGAGGCGCACCTGCCGGTCCAGACAGCTGGGCTTCGTTTTTTCTCACCGAGAGGGGCTCCGAACTCTATAAGAGTTGCTTCCCCATTCTTTCCAACCATCATTCTTTTCGAACACCAGCCGTTTCTCCGGGTTTCTGGAGGTTTTCTGGAAAGAAGGATCCCTCATGGGGGCAGTACCCCTAGGACTATGGGTTATCAGGTTTTTTGTTGTAGGTTCAGGTCCATTTTTTCACACATTGTCCTTCCCTTGTTGCCCATGTTTAGTCAAGGCTGTTGTCTAGCTCCCCTACATTTCCGCTGTACACATCACCCCATTCGGGATCCCTCTAAATCACTGGCTTTCCTTGGTGTCCGTGAAATCGAACAATAGGCGTCAGTTTGTTGTGTCAATGCTGATTGCTACACGATGCGCACCCTTCCGAATCTTTGGGAACCTGAATCCACTGAACGTCCAAGAATTGAAGCCTTGTGTCTGGAACGATGCCGACACGCAGCCTGCAATCTGTCAGGGTCCCTTAAGCGTTTGAAAAGACACACTTCGGCCCTTTGACACCACGTGTCAAATGGTCTGAAAACAGATACCCACAAATCCCCCTCTTTCCTTTTCGGCACACCCCCGCCATTCATCAGGCAGGGCTTCATTCATCCAATCATCTTAAGTTTCCCCCTCAAACATCCGCCCAAGAGGAAACCTGCCCGATTCTCCTCCCTGGCTTTCTGCTTAGGAATGTAGGGGACCCTGGACCCATGCCCCTAAGCGGGGCCCCGCCTCCAGCCAGCCCCAGAAGCTGCGCTGAGTGGCCAAAGGCACCGAGCCGCCCCCGGCCTAGCCGACTCCGGGGCACTTCCGGGAGGATTCGCGTATACCGGCACCGACACCGACACGGGTGTCAGGTTCTGTTCGGATTGGTTTTGGGGGTCTTCTCCAGAATAGCAAACCACCAATCCAAACCACCAATTGGAGCCAAGTTGGGGGTCTGCGGATCCGGTTTTTGGCGGTGCCGTGTTCAGAGGAAGGCTGAATTCAAAAGAACAAAACAAGAGACAGAGAGTGTTTGTGATGTTTGACGCAGGGCGAGATTCAGAGGAAAAACCGTGAATGATCCATGGTGAACATGAGAGGCCGTTATGATTATCCCATGAAGCAAGGCGCACTCGCACAAGTATCTCGTGACCACGGGAAATGCACTGTGGGAGGAGCTCGAGGGAACAGATGGCTGTGGCTCAAAATCATGTACCAAATTGGCACCTTTGTAAATGGAGAACTATTTTTGTTAAAGCCAGAAACGATACCAATTCCATCCGCGCCAATAAGTACATTACAAGATTTCGCAGTTCTTCGCCAGCCCAATCTTCCCAGCTCACCTGACAACATAGGCACCGCATCGGATCTCTCAGGGCCGCACGCATGGGATGCGCCTCGCCAACTCGTCGATCTGGCCCTGTCCGGAAGGGATGCGTATTGGGTGGCCCCCTTTTTCCGCAGGACTCCAAGAGCATTCACTCGTGCCATGAACTGCAGGCAAAGGACAGTAGATGCTGCGAGGGACTGAAAGACACTGCGCCCAAAATTTGAGATCCCCTTTGGATGCAAAGAAACAGCTGAAAGGAACACCCTCCCGGGCCCTGCCATATGCTGACATTTGGAAGAAATACATTGCCTGGCCCTTGCTCTAACAAGCAACTGCCTTTCAGCTTCCTTTGCAGTCCATCGCAAGGGTCCAACCAAGACACATCCCTACGTACTCCCCCGCCCCGCTTTCCTACTTCGCACACATGTGTGAACTATGTAAACACCCGCGAAAACAAGGCCCAAGAAAGACCTTGGTAGCCATTAACCCCTGAGGCCCAAACCACGGCTTTTTGCCAGTGAGTGAGAAAAAACACTGCCTTTTTTCCCCAGAAACAGTGAAAGACCTACGCAATGTCGATGTCAAGACAGACGACTCGGTGGCTTGGTCACCGCCTTCAGGTTCTGCAGATACGGCGCTGCAGGGCTCCCCTGCGAGAAGTCTTTGACGTCCCACTTCAGGGCCTGAACGAACCGCAGATCGACGTGGACTTTTGAGAGGAATCTCTCCTTCTTTCTTTTTCTTGGGGGGGGGAGGGGGGAGTTTTCTCCCTTTTTGCATGTGAATCTGCAAGACTTGGGGACAAGATGGATACGATGGCAAAGCGTCTTGGACAATATCCCCTAGAGTTTTTGCTTTGAGACCTCCCCAGGCTCCTTCGAATTGATGGGTTTTGACTTTGCAAATACGCGATGCACAAACGTGGCCGAAAGCTGAGCATCAAGATCGTCCTGGCAGCCCTGGCAACAGTACAAGAACGCCCAATCGCTTGCAGCGCAAGGGCAACAAACAGACCTCCTCAGCGCAAGGGCAACAAACAGACCTCATCAAGGAAAATTATCACGCACCCTCCCTAAGTTGCTTTGAGCCAGTGCTTTACCAATCTAACCGATTTCTCCCCCTGCTTGCATCTTTGCCATCCAATGCCCCCACTAAGAAAGAACTGTCAATCTCTTTATTGCAAGCTCGGGTTTTGGAGAGGGCCCGATTGGAATCCAGAACCCAACAACATGGACACACGCACACACTTTCGGCAAGTGCCCTTAGGCTTCAGCACATGCTACGAATTTGTGCTATTCTTTCAAAAGGGTCCGCCGGAGCCAAAGCATCGCACGGCGCTTTTGACCCGCTGGCCGCTTTTGACCCCCAGGCGCCGGCTCGCTCTCACGTAGAGATGCTGCTCGCGGAACTCTTGTCGGCGAGAGTCCCAGGAGATGCGCGCGAGACGAAACTCGGCCATCGATCTTCAGACCGATCGGCTTGCCTAGGGCCTAGGGTCAACATGCTCTAAATATTCCCTTACTATCCAGAAGCATAGATCCAAATTTCAAATTCCAACACCAAAGATCCGGGCAAATTACCGCCACAAGACTAAAACAAGGAAATAAGGGACGCCGCCAAGGAGCCTGTTTTAGCTGCCAGGTGAGATCGTCCACGTCCTGGCCCAGACCGGACTTGCCTTCCAACATCTTCAACGGATTCAGTGCCCCAAACAAATGGCCATCTGTGATTTGAATGGTTCCAATAGTCTTCTTTCTATCTGGCTCAAGTTGTTGCTCCACATGAGCATGTCAACGACAACCCCAGGCACAGTATGCGTGACATAGTTGCCCAAACTATCCAATGAATGGGCCTGAATGTTAGCAAACTATTGGAGTGGCCGGGATGCAATGAACATATTTGCTTCAAGGCGGCCACCATGCACGGCGTATTCACATACACACATCTTGGCAACTGCTGTCATGAAGTTGTTACGGATGTGTCTGCCACCTTTGGCGTGGGGTGGGGGTGAGCGCAGCTGCAACCATTCTCCGGCACCACCACTGAAGAAGTAGGAACTGTCTGACGTCAGAGCAGTAGGTTGCCCACATACAACTCCCTTGTCGGACCCTGGTGCCACAGTGTACCGCCTTTTGACAGGGTGCCCAACAGGGCTGGGGACATCATTTGTCAGACGCATGTAAATCATGGAAAAATGCCGGCCTGCACTCAGGAAAGCATGAGAATATGTCCAGTAATGACAGATTCCCTGTAAACCCACCAAGGGAAATAAAACATATTCTTAAGCACATGGAAGCAATCAACAGAAGCCTGAGGAACCTTTAGCTGTCACTGCAGGCCGTGGCCGTGTTGGAGGCCCATCCCAATAGGGTGCCAACTTCAGAAAGGCTTTGGGATCCCTGCTTAATGGAGGTAGAATCGCAAAACTGGGCACTCCTCACCGGGTTCTGATATTGGGAACCTCCTTTTGGCATCCATGTTAAGTTGCAAGTCCTCACATGCAACCTACAACTGCCCATTCCCTGCAAGATCAATGGCCACGCCTGGAGAAAAAAAGAGTAAACTGCACTCGGCTCGTTCCGGCTAAAGCCGCGGCCAAACGGTCAATCCACAAAGCCTCAGCCTCTAGGTGGCTATCAACTGTGTCCTTCTGGGCAATTTCTTACTCGCAGAACTGAAAAAAGGAATCCCCACTACAAGGATAAGCTCTCAGATGCTTGCCCCACTTCAGATTGGATGTGTGCCATTTTAAATTTCCTGCAACGATGGGTGGAGCCACACATGTCAGCCGTGGAGAAAGACACATATCCCAGCCGACGTCACGCACCAAACCAAACAAAGAAGCACACTGCCTGGTGCAAAGATACAGTTTGATGTGCAAGCGGGGCAACAACAGTGACATGTGTTTGTAAGCATACACAGTGGTTCATAGAGGACAGCTTTGAGACAAGCCTAAGTTAATCTGGCCAGAAAAACGTTGCTGAGGCCACGACTGAAGGATCTACCTAAACCAACAGGCCGAGGGGCAAGGGAGCTCAGTCCAATTGGGAACAAGCGAAGCGGTGGAACCGAAGAAACACGAGCTGTATCTTGGCCAAAGGTTTCCGGTGATGTCAACGGGGAAGAACAATGTAGACGCCTGTGTCATCTTTGGAACAGATCCACGTGGACCAAAGTCCTGACAACTGTCTGCGAAGTACCTCAAGCAGGTTGACCTCCCTTTTTCAATATTGGTTAAAACCGCCTACGGAGTGCGTGTATGTGTATATATATATATATATATATTATAGTTCCTTCATTGGACACATTATCCAGGAGTAGGCCGGCAGATCAGGCATCAGCTGGAGGGGAGGCATTGAATTCTCAACTTTTGCGGGCAGGTTTGGCGGCTGAAGGGATGAGTTTGGGCTCAGCTTGCATCTCCGCCTCAAAATGATCGTTTTCTTTGATGAATATGTGTTTTTTCAATACATTCCAGACACATTTCAGGAAAGGCCATCTGCTGCAAACTCTTTCAGCCCCTCTCTGCGCGCGGCCTAGCCTAAAACGGGTGAAACTGTGCAAACGCCCGACGTTCGTCGGGCATGGCCTGGGCAGATTTGAGCTCTGAAGGCTGGAAGCCAATGAGAAGACAGGAGATATCATCTTCAGTGGATCACCTACGCAACCCTGGCATGATGAGTCCCCTGCAAATCCCAACAAACAATGGCTTGCCATTCGGAGGAGAGTTGTTACGTGCCACACGGGCATTCCACATGTGAGGACCTTGCTGTTCCTACAAGGGACTCCCGTGCTGGATGATATCTACGTGCACATGCAGTGAAAAAACCAAGAGGACACCAGGGAACAATGTAGAGCCAGCTCCATTTTCTGATTCCTTAACCTTCCAACCTATGAACCTCACCAAACACTTCAAGGTGACTCACAAACAAGAACCAGAGTGTTCGCAAAGGTCATCCTTGTAACCACTCATATTGCGCCTGGTCACTTCAATCGTGACCACACAAATGGTGTTGTTATGCAACCTCAGCCAGCACGAATTATTCTTTCATGGGGTTCCCTAATTCATGGTGGTGGACGTCAATTCACCAACAGTTCAGGATCTCCAAGAAAGAAATATTCCTCCTGAGTGAGGTAGCATAACAGCACAATTTGTGAGGTCGCGATTGAATCGACTAGTTCCTATAGACAAAATGCCAATAAACATGTCTACCAACAACCTGGCCAGACTGACTTTGGCCCCTCTACCAAAAGTCAACTGAGCGTTGGTTTTTATTCCCCACAAACTTGCTTGGACATTGTTCAAGCTTCCGCGGACCCTTCCGCGTCCTTGCCGCGGGCCAAGGGGTCCCTTCCGCGAACTTCCGCGGCACATGTGTTTCATTGTTTGCTTCCGCAAACCTTCCGCGGGGCCGCGGTGCATGGTTTACAAGATTTGCTTCCGCGAGCATAGGCGCAGAAAGGAAAGTCATTTTAAGTGAGGTAGTGTTCCGCCGCAGCTTGTGCAGGCTTGGGCTCCATTGGGTTACCCATGCTACGTGGCCACTTGCCTGCAAACACGGGGCCACCCTTGCGCGGAGCTTCCGCGAAGCTTCCGCAAACCTTCCGCGAAATACGCCGGCTGTTTTGGCCTTCTTGGCTTGCTGTTGGCATCTCTTTTCTTCTACTGGAATCGTTTCTCCGAGCTTTTCCATGCACGCACTGAAACATTTAGTTGTATATCAGCCACCAAGCTTCCGCAAACCTTCCGCGAACAAATCCCTTCCGCGAGCCTTCCGCATGCTTCCGCGCGTGTGGCGCGGCGCACATTTTCAACAATCATGTCCCTCTCCCCACTAAATTAGCTTGCGGCAAAAGAAAACGCCGCTCAACTGTTTGCTGGCTCAGATGGGAAACTGAAGCAAGCTCACCACAACCTTCAAGCACAAAACGGTTGGCCAAGTCTGGCAAGGGACACTGAAAAACAAAGGTTGGCTGTTGGGTATATATGTCAAACTGCCATCTCCCCCGAGAAGAAGAAGCAGAAGAAGAAGAAGAAGAAGAAGAGATTCAGCCCCAAAGCGCCTCACATGATATCGCAGCAGCGGCCGGTCGATGCCTTGTCTTCGGTATCGCCTGGGAAAACGTCCGGATTCCCGACCGGGCCCGGCCCAACTTTAGAGCCCCTGCAAGCAAGCTTTCTGCTGCGGCGACTGGTACAGAGTTAAGCCTGGCAATGAGAACACCCAGAACGCCCCAGAGAGAGCTGAAGGGGTCCAAGGCGGGACGTAGGGGGCAGAAAAAAAGGAAAGAAAACGCCGGCGACATCTTTGGGCAGGTCCAGGCCGGTCCGTGGCTCCTTGTCACTAACAACCCCTCGATTTTTCTGCAAACGCTGCCAGCATTACCAGGGACCTTTTACTTTCCAGAGCCATAGCTGAGTGAAAGGACCAAGGGCCAAGGCCATGACCATAGCTCCCGCAAAGCAATGGCTCCGGTCATTTGAAGGGGGAACTCAACGTCCCAAGAGTCAAGGCGTCAAACAGGGCCTTGTTTGAGCACGGCAAAATAAGGGTATATCAGCCCTATAGCAGTTCGGGGCGGGTCTTTGGGGCAGGGCGGGGGTAGATCCATGGAACCATTCAAACATCACCCCATTCTGAGTGGGAGTTGGGGAACATTCAGGGCCAATGGAACAGCGGGGTCTCTGCCAAACAAACATTTCGTTCCTTTGGATCTGCTGTCCTCGGTTTAACATCCCCCCCTTTCACACATATAGTCTTTCTCATCTTGGTTCTGCCACTGTCCTTCAGTGTCTTCTGAAACAATTAAGTCTTTGGCGCTTGCTGAACATAGGGTCCACACAAGTTGCTGACATGTTGCTGGTTCGCTGCAATGAGGGAAAAGCAGGACTTACCTGCTGAGCCCTTCGTGCGAAATCAAAGGCCTCCTCAAAGGGAATCCCTTGAGAACCCCACACAGTCCGAAGTTAAACCCCAACCCCAAAAAGAGATATTCTGATCTTCACCCCAGAAAAAGCTTGCTTATGTGTGTTCAGGGATTGTCTTGGATGCCTTGACTCTGGATTCTCGTTGCTTGCAATGAGCGGTGGAGTCCGCAGTACTGGGCATTTGATCATGAGGTTCCTCACAGTAGCCCACAAATGGTAGGATACCCTTCTATGAATGCCCCGGCAATGGCATTCCAAGAATTCTTGGCACCCGCTCGAAACCATCAACATAACCTCCGGTTATATCTGTCCGTTTCATTTTGCCTGTCCGGAAATCGACTCAGAACCGGCGTCACAGATTTGGCCTCCAACTGGAGGACCAGGAATAGGTCTGAAAGGCTAATTCCCCCCCCCCATTTGCCTGGAAGCACTGCCTTTGAACCCCGCAGCTTCGTTTCAGATGATACCCCGCTTCTGTCCAAAAGCTGTGCTACTGGGCCCTCTCCCGCCTGGGCCTGCGCTCTTCTCCGGGGCGCTCGCCGCATCCTGCAGCCCGGCTCCAGGGAAGAGATATGTCTTGTTCTTGGCGAGCCAAACGTGAAACCAAAGTTGCAAGAGGACACCTGGGTGCCAAAAAGGAGTTGGAAAATAGAAGCCATGTTCATCCTATGCTGGCTTCCCTGTGAGAACTTTTGCTGGCTATTTGATGTTTTGACCAAAGTCAACAAGGGGTATTGCCTGGCGTCCACAGCCTCCATGACCGCGGGTCATGAAAACCAAAAGGCTACTGACAACGATTGCCTTCTTTTGACAAATTTGTTTCAATTAGAGGGAACCCCAGTGTAAAATTTCCGTTTGGCAGCCTCCACTTGTGTGAAGGGGTTCAAAAGGAACGCTTGAGCCATGCCCTTCCCCGCCCCGTTTTCGCCGAGTCGCCATGTGCAGCGTGATCACCTCAGGTCAAGATGAAGAATCCACTGGCCGTTGAGATTGGACCCGGAAATGGGCACTTTTTGGTCTTGGGTTCCACAGAGAGGGGTTTGATTCTATGTGCCAAAATAAAGGAATTTGGACCCCCCAAATGGCTTCAGAATGGTTTGTAGGGATTTGGAGCCCCCCCAAATGGCTTCGGCTTTCCTCTTACCTTCAAGAAACGGAGCCCCATTTGGAGTCCCACGCGGGCTCTCAGAACTGGCAACCGGTGAAGCCATTCTGCACGCAAGCAACCGAACCAATTCAGCGCCCAGCGCCATGGGTCACAAGAGTTTCTCAAGATTAGGAGACTTTTCAGTGTAGGTGGTTTCTATTTGGCTTCCCTTTTGAAATTACTAACCAATGGGTTCCCCTTCAGAGCATCACACACCCATCTGGTTCATGCAGGCCATCCCTGGATCCCTGAGTGCATGTTGTCCGAGGAGCGCTCGCCGCCTGTGGTAAGGCCTAAGCCGGAGAAGTCTGGAAAGCTTCCTGAAATCGAATGGGACCCGCCAAATGTGTCAGTGCCCAAAACCTGTTGACTGTTGGCTCTACGAAGATGGTGACAAAGGTTTATTTCATTTATACCCTGAGTCTCCATGACCCCTAGAAAAAGAGGTCATAACCACAGAATTTTTGGTAATGACCTCATTTTTAAAGGGTCATGGAGACTCCAAGGTGGTGAACCCTCTGCGTGGGATTTTGGGCGCTGCTCAATTCGCTCGTTGCTTCACTGGGCCCGAGCTTATATATAGGTACCAGACATTCGGGCCTTGCCAACCGACCAATGGCTTCTATGCACCCGGAGCTGCCATTGATACATCTGCGAAGGGGAACCAACGCGACCATGATTCATGGCACCCGGGTCGAGCCTTTCTCTAAGGAAACCCCACCAGTTCAATCCATGAGCCATGACCAACTCAAGGAGACCTGCCCACGGCACCGGTATATATCAGCGAAAGCTTCTCAGGTTGCCATGACTACGAATGTCGCAACACCAGAACACCAACGAGTCAGATCAGGTCGATTCACTCACAACAAACTCAATTGACCTGAATTGCTACACCTGACTGACATCGATGGATCTTCCAAGATGGGGTCCAAGGTCGCAACGTGCTAAACGTGTCAGCTTTTGCTGAAGCGACATGTGGAGGCTTGCTTACGCCACCAGCGCACGCTACCTTAAGCTCGCGGAGATTTTGCTTGCGCACAGGTCGATATGACGTGACTCTTGCTAAACATGTAACTGGAGGTGTTGGACTCTGCTCACTTGAGGGCAGCGTAACTCAACTTGCTCCAGGAATCTGGTGCTGGGAAATGCTCCATTTGCTCATTTGCTGCATGGCCATGCTCAGTTGCTCATCCCAGCAAGCCATCCACTTACATTCCCGCCAAAATGGAATTTCTGAAAGACTCTATTGCTCTTCAACCAACTTCAGCTTCCATGATGCCCCAATCAAGCAATAATGCAGTCAGCTTCATTGTTGGAGTTTATATGTCCCCTAAGTGGAATTTCCCTTATCTCACCCCCTTGAAAGACTTGTGTAACCCTTTGTAACCCATTTCAATTTCCATTTTGTAACCCCCAGGGATACTCGCCGCCGACGTGGGACCCCTCCGACTTTGGCGTCGATTCGGCGCCTCGGAGCGGCTCTGTGTCTCGCGCACCTCGCGCGCGCGCTCGGAAGCCCAAGCTGCGGAACATTTCCCGAACGGGAAACTCACCGACGGGTCCGAAACGTTGATGTCTGGACTCGCCAGGGGAAATCCGGGCATCCCTGGTGAGATTGTTGATTTCAGGCTTCAGGTAAACAATTTCTTTGGGCTAAGTTTGACTGCGCCAGCCGGTACTCGAAGTTGCCGGGTGCTGTCAAGCAATGACTCTCTGCAAGGTAGAAAGCGATCCATCTGCTTGGTTTGCTCCCACTCCGCCCACCTCACACAGGTGTTTGAGCTAAAAACAATCTTCGGATTCGGATGATGTTTCAACCAAAAGGGGACCGGTGTACTCCTTTGTGGTCCTACTCTTCCTATTTCATGATACACTAGCCACTAACAATGGAACCAAATCTGCTGTGGCTAACAACACATACACCCCTTGTCCTCTTAAAACACACCTTGGTTCCTGTTGACCCCTCTGCAAAAAGTTTAACTTTTCGTGGGTTTGGTGGAAAACACCTTGAATTCCCAAAAAGTTAAAGTCTAAAGATCCAACCCAATAGCAATCAAGTCACACACCTTGTCCTCTTGGGCTCCATGCAACCACCAAATCCAACTTGCGGCCACGGCACCTCCTTGGCCTCAGCCGCATCCAAGCAGTTCCGCAGCGTGCTCGGGAGGCCTCGGGACTCCGCGTTTCCTGCGGATGGCCATCCCCCATGCCCGATGAAAGCCACAGCCGCCTTCTGTTGGTCCCCCCGAAAAGGCACGGGAAGCTGCGTTTGAGGGACACTTAGAGGGTTCTGCCATGTCCTTTGCCAAATTCATCGTAGACTGCCGGAATGTTGGTCCAACTCTAACATACATAAATGAATATACGCATATACATATATATATATATATGGTACGCCCCCCCTGGTGCCTAGGTGTTGCTTGATTTTAACCACCTTTTTCATACTTTTTGTATTATTTTGGCCAAACTTGGGCACCAAGGAAGGGGTGTGTGTGCCACAATTCTACAATTAAGAATGCTGGATCCAAGATTGCTGGGAGACTTTCAATGTGACAATCTGGAATTCAAGATTCAAGATTCAAGCTTTCAAAACAATCTTTTCTGGAATTCTGGGATATTGAGTCTTGCTTCCCATTTTTTCAAAAATTCTGGGATTCAGGATTCAAGATTTCAAAATAATCGTTTTCTGGAAATCTTGAATCTTGAATCGTGAATCCCATAATTTTTTAAACTTTTTTTTTTAGGGATGCAAGATTCAATATTCAAGATTTCAAAATAATCTTTTTCTGGAAATCTTGAATCTAGGGGTTCTAGGGGAATACTAGGGGAACACTCAGGGAATACTAAGGGAATATTAAGGGTGAATACTAGGGGAGTACTCAGGGAATACTAGGAGAATACTAGGGGAATACTGAGGCAATACTAGGGTAGGCCAATACTGGGGAAATACTTGGGGAATATTAAGGGAGCACTGGGGCAATACTAGGAGAATAGCAGGGGAATACTATGGGAATTCTAGGAGAATACGAGGAGAACACTCAGGGAATATTGGGGGAATACTAAGGGCTAATACTAGGAGAATACTGAGGCAATACTAGGGGAGTATTAAGGGAATACTAGGGGAGCACTGAGAATTACTAGGGATATACCAAGAGAATACTAAAGGAATACTAGGGCAATACTAGGGGAATACTTGGGGAATATTAAGGCAATACCAGGGCAATACTAGGAGAAAAGTAGGGGAATTCTAGGGGAATTCTAGGGGATTTCTAGGGGAATTCTAGGGGACTACTAGAAGAACACTCAGGGAATACTAAACGAATACTAAGGGTGAATACTAGGAGAATACTAGGGAAATACTGAGGCAATAACAGGGAAGTATTCAGGGAATACTAGGGGAGCACTGAGAATTACTCGGGATATACCAAGAGAACTGGGGCAATACTAGGGGAATACTTGGGGAATATTAAGGGAATACTAGGGCAATACTAGGAGAAAAGTAGGGGAATACTGGAATTCTGGGGGAATACTGGGGGAATACTAGGGGAATACTAGCAAACCACTCAGGGAAATTTACGGGAATACTAAGGGAGAATACGAGGAGAATACGGGAATACTGAAGAAATACTAGGGGAGTATTAAGGGAATGTTGCCAGATGTTTAATCATGTGCTTCTTGCCATGATGGACTGCAAGCCCATTCGTCTGTGCTCAAAATCTATTGCAAGCAAATCTAAACTCTACAGCCTGCGCGCTCAAATCAAGCAAAACCTAGGCACCAGGGGGGGGGGGGGGCGTAGCATATATATATATATATACATACGCGTATACATATATAGTAATATGCAGATAATCACATATACATATATATATATAGTCTTCAACAAAGCGGAGCTCCCGGCTTGCAGGCTGAGCCAGGGAGCTGGACTGCTGCGAGTAGGGCTCTGAGTAGGTCAGGGAGTCCTTCCGAGTCAGTCGGTCGGAATGGATCGCCGCGACCCCCCCGAAAGGGACAAGTCGTGGATGTTTGGTCCTTAACAAACGGAGGGAACTGCCGTGGTTGGTGCCTTTTGTGCTTTTTGAATGAAGAACATGTCCTTTGGTGCTGATTTTCGGAGCGAGGCTTATGTCCAGTGGGCTCTTTGGCGGGATGGCCTTCCGCTGTCATGTCAAGTTCTGCACCGTCCATCCCGCGTTCACGTTGCCGATCTCTTGAGAACTTGATAAGACATGAACTCGCTGCATGCATGCAACCGTGGTCAGGACGTAGGGACGTAGGGATATAGGGACTCAGGATGTGAACAAACCAACTGCACGGGCTTTGGCGGGGCGGGGCTGGAATCTTCTGGGTCCTAGGTGTTACTGATGTTTCGTACAGAATCCCCACCTCTCGCGCAACACCCAGCTCGTGTTGTCCAGGCGCTGCTGACCATGGCTTCATATTGGATCCAGCCAGCCGCTCATGTGTGTCAAAATGCCGGACCTCCCTACAAAGGCCGGTTTCCCATTCGCTTTCAACAAAGGACCCCAAAATCCAAAGGCCGAACAACATGCAGTTGGGCCATGTGACGTTAAAAAAAACGGGGGTCCCATGTGAGTCGCAATCAAAACCTACTAAAATGGTCTACCCAGAATGTACAGGATGAAGAAGGCGGAGATCCGCAGCGATTTTTGGCCAGGGGATCGTCCCTTACTAACCGGACCATCTACCCGAATCGGTTTTGAGCACGTGGCTGTGTCAGTTGCCTTTCCTGAGTGCCCTCCAGCAGGGCCGACAGCTGCGCTGCGGTGGCCGGCCGAATCGGCCGCTCGTCCGCTTGGCTGCGGGCGGACCTCGAGTGTCCACGGGGCGCAATTTCCTGGTTTAGGTCTACCCACTCCATGTACATACCCACACAGAGGCCATCTGTTTTACCCCAGAGTATCAGAAAGAATCAAGCTCGGATAAGCTTCCCCCACTTCAGCAGTAGCAGTTGCAGCAGCAGCAGCAGCAGCAGTAGCAGCAGGAGTAGCAGTAGCAGTTTTGCAGTAGCACTCTCAGTGGCAGTGGCAGTAGTGGTGGCGGTGGTGGTGGTAGTGGTAGTAATTGTAAATAGTATATAATAGTGGTCGAGTAGCAGCAGCAGGTGGCGGGTCGTCGCACTGAAGAATGAACCCATCCAAAAATGGGCTCTTCTTTGCAGCGTATTGCCCCCGACAGTTTCTTTGCGCCAGCCGCACAATATGGCAGGTCATGTCCCTTTACCTAAAAGTCTTCAGCATTACCCATGTGCCCCGATCAACTCCAAGCCCCGCAACTTTCCAAGGCACGTCTTTGGGCTCGCAGCCAAACTTCCTGCAGACGTCGCACTGGACGTGCTCGCACTCGCAGGGACCACGGGGGTCACAGGGGTACCGCTGCCAGGCTCGAGGGGCTCCGGCAGAAGCGTCCTCTCCAGCTCCTTCTCCTCGTGTTTGTGACATGTTTGTGAAAAAACACGCTCACTTGGGCCAGACCAACTGGGCTCTGCAAACTGCACGGAGAATCTTGATTTGCCTATGGGACACCACTACAAAAAGTGACACCAAGTCCATCCGTCATAAGGACTAAGATTATAAATTATATGTTGAACGACTCAGAGCAACAATTGAGACAATGGTCTCCACTTGCCCAATGCCTGTACGAGCTGGTGGATCTGTGAGAATATCAGCAGATTTATGTGAACGGCAAGTCTTGGTACCGCATAGCAAGCATTTGTCCCTGACTACTATGAGAAGCTATGAGACGACCAGCAAATAAAGGACCCAAACAGCTGGTGTGCAAGATCAGTCAACTCTACAAGGGATCATAGGGCAGTACCAAGTAGCCAGTCATAGTGGTACCTAGTCCTTGTGCTGTTACATTCTGAGACAAAATTGAGTCAGAAGCCCCAAAACCACTTTGTTGTGGTGTTTAGCAGCTCTATAGAGTCAGAACTCCTTCAACAACACCTAGTCAAGATGCATCTGCCAGGATAGTCGCGTCCATGAGGACTGCCGCATCCATGAGGATGGTCTGCTCTTCTGGTAGTGCCTGGTGAGAAATGGGAATGTGTCAAAATAGGGGAACCCTCAAAATTTGTGTTTGGCTTTTGATTTCCCTTTAAACAGGGTACCCAGCATGCAAAGACACAAGCACCCAACAGGAGATGTACCAACAGGCGCCCAGGTGACAAGGGTTTCATGTCGGCTTCTTTCTAAATCCATCACCCAAGAAATGGGCTGGAATGCTTGCCCATCGGTAGCATCAAACAGGCCAGAGTCTAGCCGCAGGAACCAACAATTCGCAGGCTGCCCTCATATGATAGCCACAACATGCGTGCTTTGTTGGCTTAGAATAAGACATTTGACTGAACGGCCCGCAAGCTGCTGGTGTCTCATGAAGCCCCTTTACTTCTAGAGCTCCGTGCAAGCGTCTATTTACTTCCAGGGCCATAGGGACTTTGTCAGACTTACCTAGTGCACTTCCAAAGACCCTAAGCCCCCTCACCCCGGTCAGCTGGCATGATCAGCTTGAGGGTTCGGTGGCAGTTGAACACTGCCAAAAGCTTACAATATCCTTTGTCCAAGCTAAGCCTACAGGGAGGAAGTGCCAAAGTCCGGGTTTCATCTGCGACCCGAATCGACCGATTGCAACGTTTGCCGATTTCGCCACCCAAAATCAATAGGAGCTCTGTCTATCGTTTGCCTGGAGTCTAGTCATCCCGAAAAACTTGACAAGTGTGTCTTTTGCCCAGCCGCTCCAGCTTGTCGTGGGTCTCTCCTTACCCTCTCAACCTCCCTCCAAAGCGGCCTCTGCCGTGCAACAGTCGGCAAGCACGCGTGCCGCGTCTTTTTGTTATTCGCCAGGCTTCGGCATAAAACGGTCTCAGGGTGAGGTGCGTGCACCGGGCCGGGCCGCACGGCCCAGCCCGGTGCCTTGCCTGTCCCGCATTGAAATCTGGGAGAAAAATCCCGGCGCTCCTGGCAATGGATCGAACGGGGCTCGCTGGACGCCCGATGGATCTTCTTTTTTGGGGCTCCCTTTGAAACAGATCCAGCAAAGACCCCCACATGCAACCAGCCAGGAGGAACAAGTTGGGTCACCGGTCCAGAGGAAACATGTGAAACAAAAAAAAACGCTTCAATTAATGTCGACCGTGAAGATTAACCTGACCTTATTATTGACGACTGGGGGAATACATCGGGAGTAAACGTTCAGTGAGTAAAAGTGCGGGGGAACGACATGGCATGCATGCCTTCTCTATCGTGCTTGTGAAGGAGGTTCGATCATGAGTTTGAGTGATCTCTCCAATTTAGGTCAAGGGATTGCTCGCAATCTCAAAGTTGTGGCCAAGATACGAACACTAATTTACTGAGAGTTTGCTTGCTCGTTCTGCGCAGGGAATCGGGGAATGAGCCTTATGAACCGTCCCTTGTGGCTTCCTGCCAAAAAGTTTCTATGCTTTTCCAACACCCACGCATGAAAGTGCCCAGATTGGCACAGCCAAGACTTCCCCAAGCATCCACGAAGGTCTCCTAGATGTGGCGGATGATGTTTCGCATGAAGGGCTTCTTTCTGCTAGTGGAAAGAGGATTCAGGGCTTTGTTTAGGCCTTGGTTAGGACCGGATTTATTCTGGGTTTGTTTAGACATGATTTTAAGCATACAACATTTCAATAAGGAATGATTTAGGGCGGGCTGACAGCTGGTTGAGGATTGATGCTGGGTCGGTGGAAATTGGGCGGTCCAAATGCGGGACTTGAGGGTGCGGCGGTTAATAAGGGGCCGTACTTGGGTTTTGTTACGAGTGCAGCTGCACTTCGAGTTCTTTCGGCCCGCTTTCAGGCGATTGCGCACAATCCACCATGAAACTGAAAGCGCCTTCATGTACGGAATAACCTCCACTCTGCTGCTTGCTAGAAGGAACTCACGCTTGCCCTTTCCAAGGTTGATTGAGAGGGAAACAATAACTAAGCATTTGGGGTCGAACTCCCAATTTCTGACACGTCCCCATGCTGCTGGTGTCCTTTGGTTTCCATTTCCCATCCAAAAAAAGGGTCCAAATCCCGGTATTGTCGAGCCGTGCCCATCGATCTCAGGGTGGAAAGCTAATCAGTCCCAAAACAGCGGCCTTAAAGTGTTTTTTTCCTTTTTCTTTCCGGTGTCCATTTGAGCTCACTTTTGAGTGGATTGGCCAAGAAAGTCCAATCTGTTCGCTTGCCGCTAAACTGGTCTTCCCAAAAAGTGACCAAAGTCCGAAACGGAACTCACAGGAAGGTTGAAAATCGAACCGGAAACCGGTTAACCGAACCGGTTTTCAAAACCGCAAGAAAACCGGAAACAAACCACAAACCGAACCGAACCGAACCGAACAGAAACCGAACCGTCCCCAGGTTTGCAGGGCAGCAAGCGTCAAAGCAACACACCCGCATTATTGGCCGCTTCTGGTTCTGATTTTTGCCTCCGCAGTGCTCGCAACACACGAAACACCGCTGAAATGTTGCAAGCAAAAAAAGCGGCCCACGAGCGGTCAGTGACTTGTTTTTTTGAGCTGCTCGGCTTTGGCGCAGACAGCAGCGATCCCGTTCAAAGGGGCAGCAAGGGGATTTGAACCTGCAAACTTTTCTTGCACTGCCGGAATAGCTACACGTTCGGGCACCAACCTGTCTCACCACCTCCCCCTGCTCCCGCGGGATTGCCCTTTCCCTGTTGCAGCCTGGCTGCGCCAGCAGCGCGAAAAAAACAACAACTTACTGACGGTCAGTGGTGTCACTGTAAGGGCTTGCTCTCCCGGCGCCTTGCCGCCTTGTTCTGGGCCTGCCCTGGCCTTCCCCAACGCCCCACCAGCCTGATTGCCAGAACTTTTGGCACGCTTAGCAGGCCACTGCAGCTGAGGCCCCTTTGCTGCACGCGTCAAGGCAACAAACCCGCATTATTGGCCGCTTCTGGTTCTGATTTTTGCTTCCGCAGTGCTCGCAACACACGAAACACCGCTGAAATTTGGCAAGCAAAAAAAGTGACCCATGAGCGGTCAGTGACTTGTTTTTTTGCGCTTTTGAGCTTTGACTGCAGAGATGCTTCCCAAGGCCACATGCGCGGAACAACATGCTCAGCATCAGTCAGTGGCATGGTTTGTTTGTTTGTTTGTTTGTTTGTGTGTGTGGTTGTGTCCGTGTGTGTGTGTGGTGTGGGATGGCGATGTCAGATGGATGGCGATGCCAGAGATGTGGAAGTTGGCGAAGTGTGGGCGAAAGCAGACTGAGTTACCTAGAGCCTTATCTTACTTTTCTGCATTAACCGTGCAAACCGGCAGGTTTTGGAAGGTTATGAGTAACCGCCACTAACCGGAGAAAGGTTTTCAAAAGGTTTCAGAAACCGAACCTAACCGTGGCCACCCTGATAACTCAGGAATCGAGTAAACACTCACCAAAAAGTTGTCCATTCCGAGAGGTTCCGCTCACGTGGACCAAGTCAGCTCCCAGCCTCAGCTCGCCTTTGTCTTCATCACTGGGATGAGGCCACCCGCCACAGCCGCCATGATGGCCGCTGGGATGAGCGCCGCCTGGCCGCGAGCACAGCGCATGGGGAGGGTGATGGATTTTCCCTTTGGTGCCGCGGAAAAACAAACACCCCAAAAGGGTCCCTCAACACAACCACACACCCAGATGGACATGTTCACATAAGAAAACACAAAGTGTATGTAAGCTAACCACGGCACCACACAAGCAAGCGATAACTCTTTTATCCAAGCAATGTGTTGGTGCCAGGGACTCATCTTCCCCTGTCAGATGTCTACGGCTGGGTGGGCCCCATGGGCCACCCACCACAAACTCTCAAAAACTGAAGAACGGGTGTGCAGACTGATAGCGCCCGCCCCGGGGCCGGGGCCCGGGGCACCCAGGCCACAGGGGGGTCTGCCACCAGGGGAAGTGAGTCACCCACCGGCTCCGGTCACGGGAGCATGGGTGGGCCCACGCTAAGATCAAATGCATCTCCATTCAGGAGACGCGGGAGAAAAATGAACTCCTCGCAGAGTTCCTGTTTAGGGACTCTGTGCAAAGGGTCGAACCCAGAGAAATCTGGGTGCGTCAGCTCATCGGCCCACTGGTTGAATTCCCGGGGCACGTGGTTGGCCGCCAGCGAGCAGCCATGGGTGTGGAGCAGGAAGACCAGCTCCATCAGGATAGCCGCGGTGTAGGGCTTCTTGGATCCAAGGTTGAGCATCGCCATGACGTTGCCCTGATTGTCACTGCCCACCGGGAGTCGGACCCGGGAGGACAGAGGGCCTTGGTGCGTGAGGATCATGTTACAGAGGAAGAGCGTGCCCAGCATTTCCAGAGCCGCAATCCTCCGCTTGGGATCCCCATTCTTGAATGCCCACGGGTACTCCTCCACGTGGATCTGCTCGTGGAACCAGTACACCTCCTTCTTTTCCGGCTCCATTTTGTTGGAGCACCAGCCTCCCACAAATGCCAGTCCTTCATCCGAGGCGCTAGCATCGCTGCAACCCCACCAAGAGGACTTCGGCAAGTAAGGGGAGTACTGGACGAAGGGCGTGTTGAAGAGGAACCGCAGCATGAACGCCAGCATCCTGACCACCTTAGGGGGTTTCCCCACCGTGGTGGTGGCCATTTTCCAGGCCCACAGTGGCTGAAGCATCGACTTCGCCAGCGGACATGCAGCAGTTGCCCATTGGATGCGGCCCAGGGCCTTCTCGATGTCCTTTGAGTGCATCGCCTGCCCTTCCACCATGATCTGCAAGACCTCCATCACCAGGATGTGTTTGTTGGCGGCCATGAGAACCTGCGGGATGTTCGGGTGGACCACGAAGCCCAGCCACGTGTTGACCTCCGCCAAATGTGTCTTCTTCCAGCTAAGCGGGGTGCCCAAGGCCAGGAGTGTTGCCAACAGCGCCACCGCCAAGTTTACTGCCCCCTCGCTGCGAAGCAGCCACAGGAAGTCATCCACAAAGACGAAGTTCCAATCCACTTGAGGGAAAAGTGCGTAGAGGACCCTGAGTAGAAGGGCTGCCAGGCGTCCCCAGTAGGATTG